AATAAAGCATTACATGCTAAAATTTTGGAACAGATCATAGCTTCTAGGCTTATCTTCTACTCAAATATTATATATATTCTAGCACTTGAAGCTCCTTCATTCACCTAATAAAAAAAGCTATATATTAAGAGCAAATGAATGAATGGTGATGAAAAATCAATTTATCACAACTATTTTAAATTAATTTTTTTATAATGAAAAACTTGTACGCATGTAGCTAACCCTAAGGATAGTGGAATTAAATATTGTATAGACTTTTTACATAATCATATATATATATATATATATATATATATATGGCTATGATTCATTATTTATGTAATATATATTTTTTAGTTTTACATAGATTTAAGACTGTTAGATGAATGAAAATAGACAATTGAAATTAACTCATTATTTTTTTTAGTGAATATCTTCCCATTTTTCTACTGTTAATCTCAGTCGTCTATTTTCACTCGTCTATTTGTCCTAAATCTATGTAAAACTAAAAAAAATTATAATATGTAATTGGATATATATATATATATATATATAGTTGAGTAAAACCGTGTATACATAAGCAGGATATGAGCTGTTATACATAAGGAGCCCTAAGAGAAATAAGTTCATTAGGGGACAAACCCTAAAACCAGAGCTGAGGAGTTGGAGGGGATGACTTCAGTGTTTCCAGCCCGTTGGTAACAACAAAATCAATAACCTTTGAAAAATCTTTACCTTATATATATATATATATATATTCAAGGAACCAAATCAATGGACTGGCATATTGTTCAACCCTAAGATATGACCAAAGGGCTAAGTGTTTCGACAATGTCCCCCAGTGATTTTAATGCATCTTACCGACTCCCTGCGGAACGGGGCATGGTATGCATGCATCTGATGAGCTCTCTCTCTCTCTCTCTCTCTCTCTCTCTCTCTCTCTCTCTCACGAAACTATAATTCAAAGGGAAACTTTTAACTCCATAAATGAATGTACAAATCAAAAAGAAAAGTTTTTGAATGGTCGTGTGATGTTTTAATTCGTTTAGTTGCTACGTGCAGATATTTAGTTTTGACTTTGAAGATAATAAGTTTTAGGATATGCTCGGGGGCCTTAATATTGTTCCATTGTTGACCGAGTCCTATGGAAAAGACTAATGCATATAAGGTACTTCGCTACCATCCTTGGATCCTCTCCACATGTAACAAATTTGTCCCTCAAATTTTGAATCTTGACATTGTAATCAGAACAACCTAGACTGGAAGGATTGACCCAAATTTAGTACAAACAACAAAAGTATTATACTCTCTACCAATTTGGATGAGTTTTGCTCTAGGGCCTCCCAACAACGAGTAGCTTCAAGATTACGTCCCGCGGCTTATACGGAGTCACTTCCTCACAACTTAATAATTAACACCTTTCATGTAATAAGCCTATGATAATTCGAGCCTAGCCTACTGAATACTATATCTTCTCTCATGTAAGAGTGGCCACGTGACTATTGGACATTCTGAATATATAATACAACTTTCTCAGGACAAGATCAGACACTCTTCTCTCCTCTTATCTCCTTCTCTCTCTCTTTTTATTCTCTCTCATAATCGTCTTTTCTCACTCATTTATACCATGTCGACTAATGATTTTCTGTCAAAATCAGAAGAGATGAATCGATCAACTACAAATCGTAGATTAAACTTCTCAATTTCCCGACGTTGAAACTACCGTGAACTATTATCCCACTTGTGGACCATACAAAAAGTACTTGAATTTGGAGTTTGATCTTAACAGGTTAAGATTAATTTATACCTTTTATAAACTTAAAGAATGCATATATTTGGCATGTTTTGGCAGCATGGACTAATATTATATACGCTATGAGATTATGCGTAGTATACATAAGTAATGTTACTTGTATTGTTTCTATCATGCATTGTTGTTTTCTTTGGAAACTTGTCCCATGCATTGCCTGGTAATAAGGACACGAAAATGATCAATAAATTAATAACAAACACAATTAATTATATTAAGTTCCATCCGATTTGTTCTTTATTGGAGAATTTCGTGAGTTGGAAAATAAGGTTTAAAAATATCATAATTTATTTTATATTTTTAATCTTTGTAACAAAATAATAATTATAATATTTATAAAAAATTACAACTATAATAATTGTAACAATAGTATGATTTATAATAAAAAAACCATTCTTATTCGTGATTAAAACAATAGTGTTAGTAATGTTTTTTAGTTTTTTTTCGACTGATTTAATTTCATATTAATTCGTGACATCAATTCAATAAATTACGTTATTTTACTAAAGATATTATAAATAAATAACAACATTATGAACTTTAAATTAATATTAATAAATATATTTTAAATTTATAATCACAATTAACATATTTATTTATCATATAATTAAATTAATACCGTGCACAAATCAAAATATTACTACAATTAATACAAAAAAAATCAACCATTATCAAAATATTACTACAATCAATTAACAAAAGTCGGTTCGTATTAGTAAAGACAAAACATTAGAACCGGAAGGGCAACAAAAAAAAAATACTACAATCAATACATACAAAAGCATCATCATTATTATTACTATCATACAAATTCGAAACATACAAAATCAATCAAAGATTTTCTTAATCTATTATCAATGTTTACTGAATTCAAATCTTTTAAGAAGAATGATAATTTTTTTTACTGTCGGTGTCACTTAATAAATTCTTAGATAACTAAGATTTAAATCAAAGTAAATATAAACTATAAATTCATAAATAGTATAGTAGCTCATTTTTTATAAATAGATTACGCGGTTACTTGAATTGTAAGTATGTGTGAGATAATCATTATTTAGACATTGAAATTAAAGAAAAACAAAGAGGGGAATCTAGCTTTGTTAATTTAATTATATATTTTATTGACCATTGGAGTGAATACACGAAGGCACAAGATATCGTTGATTAAGACAAATTTGATTTTTTGTTAGCATCTTATCAGTAATTAATTGCTTTAAGTACTATTAATTAGTATTCACGACAAAACTGGTTTAAATCTTCAATTATAAAAAAATTAGGGTTCATCCAAATTGGGGAGATGTAATCTTTTTAAAGATTGAAATTGTCAACGTATCTTTTAAATAACAATATTTTTTGAATAAATTACGCGTTTAGTATATAAACTATCAGTTTTGATCTGTTTTAGTACTCAAACTTTCAATTTTTCAAAACCATACCTAATGTTTAGTTTTTATTTCATTTTAATACTCTTCATTAAAAATTTAACCGTTTAGTACCTAAACTTTCAATTTTTTTAAAATTTAAGTTTTTGGTACTAAAATGAAACAAAATCTAAATATTAGGTATGGTTTTAAAAAAATTGAAAGTTTAGGTAGTAAAATAGATAAAAACTGATAGTTTAAGTACTAAACTCATAGTTTATCCTATTTTTTAAAACACTCAAACTAGACTACTAGAGCCAGTTGAGTCTAATTTTTTGTTTATCTGATTTTCCTTTTTTTAATCCGTTAAAAAAATTTCATTTTAATGAAAATGAAAATTTTCAATATTTAATTTCTAAAATGTATTTGATAATTATATTAATTCCTTAATATAAATTATTTTGAAATATCAGGAATTTCACCATTAATTCCCAAACTATATATACTCTAATATTATTATTTTTGAAATAAATTATAAATATAATGGTTATTTAAACTTAATTTAAAAAAAAATCAAGTCAACTGAAAAATTAATAATGTTTTAGTTTGACAAGTTTGATGTTATATTTATAATTTCTAAAAGGGGATTTGATCCAAAATTAATTGAAGTTGGTAAATAAATATCCTGCATCATTTTCAATATTAATTTCAAAACGTCATTTTCATATTCTTAAATTTTCTTTTTTGCAAAAATAAATTTCATTACATAACACAATGAATAGACCGATGAAAAAGTTCAAAAATGAAAATCTCATTGTTATGCCCTTTTCCATTGTTTTTTTCCTCTTTCGATAAACCGATAAAATAATCTTTAGTCTATGAATTTGATATTTGGTTTCAATTTGGTCCCTAACACTTTTTCTGCCCACGTTAATCTTGAACTTAAATTTTTAGCCATTTTGATATCGTGTAATTTTATGATTATTCCATCTTACATAATATCAAAGCATTGGATGATAAAAAAGACTATTTTTTTTATCAAATTTAGAGAATAATGTTGAAAAGAAGAAAGTTCAGGGATTCAATTTAAAAAATCGACATGTTTAAGTGCTAAAGTTTAGAGAATAATATTTTTATTTTAGGGTAAATTATGTATTTAATCATTCATATATTCTTGTGGTTCCGTTTTGATCACCCAATATTTTTCTTTTCAAAATCATATCTAACATTACGTTTTGGTTATCTTTTGGTCACCGTCGTTAAAAAATAAATAGAAATGCTACGTGATAATTTTTTTTTCCAATGATAACATGATATTACCTTATGATGACATGTCAGCATCACAATTATTTTTTAGTATAGCCATCGGTTTTAGATTTATTAATCGACTAATCCGGATTGGGCATGCAGAGGCAAGGGTGATCATCCCAACCCAGTTTGCTCCATTCACAAACGCTATGATTCAAACACATACTTGCCTAAGAGATCTAGTGTCTCATCCCATTAGACCAACTAGTTGTTAATTTTTTAATGGAACACAACATTAAGTACGATTTCAAAAAGAAAAAAAGTAGTTAAGTGACTAAAACGGAACCACAATAACAAATGGATGACTAAATACTTTACTGTTTATTTTATTATCTTGGGGTTGATCAAATGCCTTTAAAAAGCTCATTTCTCCGACCCAAAGTTGGAACCCTCAAGGCGAACACCTTTCTTTGTTTTTGTTTAGACATAATACCAAACTCTTTTTGTTCTTTTGTTCTTGTTTTGGGTATCTTATTTAAACAAATAAAAATAAAACCTTTCTTTTTAGCTTTTTTTCCTGAAAGAAAAAACAGCAGAGAAAAGTGAAAATGGGACTAGAAGCTGTAGTTTTCCAGCAAGATTTGTTTAATTACAGCAACAGATATCTCTACAGCTTGTTAGGAGGGAATTCAAGCTATGAAGACAAGCATTTTTCTCATCACAATCAAACATCTGATGAAGCTAATAATGATTTCGTCAATGGAGGTTATTGGGTTTCTTCCTCTTCACCAACTTCAGTTGAAGCTACTAACAATGGTAATGGATCGTCCTCCTGCGTCGTCGACGGCTTGGCCGTGGCGGTCGAGACGACTTCGACTCGTCCCAAGAGACGTCGGCTCAGGACTCGTAAAAACAAGGAAGAGATTGAGAATCAAAGGATGACTCACATTGCAGTTGAGCGCAATAGGAGGCGGCAAATGAATGAATATCTTTCTGTTCTTCGTTCTCTCATGCCTGAATCTTATGTTCAAAGGGTATTTTTCATTTTTCTCTTTCAACTTAACTAGCTAAACAATAACATATATATGATAATCATAAGTTTTTTGTTTGGTCAGGGTGATCAAGCGTCGATCATCGGAGGAGCTATCAATTTCGTGAAGGAGCTTGAGCACTGTGTCCAATTGTTAACTGCTAAGAAAGAGGTGAAGGAAAGGTCAGATGGAAGTACTAGCGGTTGTTCATCACCTTTTGCAGAGTTCTTCATGTTCCCACAGTACTCGACTCGGGGTGATAATAACTCGATCCCGGTGAACGAATCGATGGCGGCGGAGACTCAACCTGCCACTGCAGACATAGAAGTTACCATGGTGGAGAACCATGCAAACCTCAAGATAAGATCAAAGAATAGTCCGGCACAACTCTTGAAATTGGTTTCGGGTTTGAACAGTATGCGTCTCAATATCCTCCATCTCAATGTCACCACAGTTGATCACACTGTACTCTATTCTCTCAGTGTCCAGGTTAGCAAGTCACAGAAAATAGTATATATATATATATATATATATATATATATATATATATATAATCTTTAGATTTGTAGTATAATTTACTGTAATTGGATGTGAATGCAGGTAGAAGATGACTGTAAGGTGACTTCAGTGGATGACATCGCTACAGCATTAAACCAGTTGCTAGGTAGGATTCAAGAAGATGCTATGTTGAACTGATTTAGGCTAATTTACCATCAACTGTTTTAGAAAAACTACTGCTGGTTTCACCAGAATCATGTAATTTTCAAATAAATTAAATTTTATTTTCTATTCTCCTAATTTTTTTCTCAGCAAGGAATATTTTATCGATGATCATTAAAACTTAATTGTGTGCCTCTTAAAAATCTCTCTAACCTAAATAGAGGAAAAGAGTGCACCCCAAGTCCAAAACAAAACTAAAACTCAAAAACACCGAATCAGCCACAATACACAGAGCAGCAGACTATTAACACACCTAAACAGCTATGACAGACAAAACTAACTCACTAAACAGCAGGCAAGAAAAACGAAGGGAAAACCCATCAATAAGAAAAAAACAGACTACCACCATGCTTTAAAAAGCTCAGTCCTCATCGGTCCTGCCTTCGCTAAGAAATCTGCCATTGGATTTTTGAGTTCTTGGCACGTAAATAAACTGCACCCCGAACTATCTCGAACCATTCCATCAATTTCATCAAAGAAATTCCACCATTTTCACGGTCTTAGTAATGGGAAAGCAATCCAATTCAGAACAATCTGTCTCTTTAAACACTTGCAATGTCGTTTTAACTGCTAGGCCAGGATCGCAAACTGTCCTATCTAGTCCGTCATACAATCGTTAGTGCAAATTTTCTTTACAAGTGATTAAAAGATAATATTTATTTAGAATCTTTTTTAGTCATTGGTAAAGTACACACATCCTGCAAATATAACTACTTGAACCTAAAATCTTTAGGAATAATAACATATTCTTTTATCGTTAGTGTATAATTTAGAAATTTATTCTCGAGATCTATTTAATTTCGTCAAGGTATATATAATTGAAATAATGTAAAATGAACCAAGGAAGATGCTTGATTACTATATAGCTTTACAGATGGACCACTAAATCAAATTATAATTAACAAAAATAAAGTGGTAAAATAATCAAATTTTGGTTAGGGACAATTTTATAATACGTAGACTTTGTTTTTTATTTTTAATGTGTCGCTTTTCACATGCATTGTAGAAGAGTCTAAAGTCCCCATGTAGGTGAACTATAAAATCATCTAAGATTTATTTTTTTTTTCTATTGAAAAAGATTTTTTTTTTATTTTCTAAAAAATTCTAATTTCATATATTGAATATAGTGGTAGAACCCATTGTATTTAATAAAAATTTAAATTTCAACATCCAAATTCAAATATTACTTGAATATGCAATTTTGAATCCACAAAATTGTATCAAATATTCATAAATATTTAAATTCATAAATATTCATAAAATTTTAAATTGTATCAATAAAAAATTGGATCAAATATACATAAATATTTGGATATGTAATATATGAATAAAAGAAAGAATCGGATATACATAAATATTTGAATTCATAATATATGAATCAATAAAAAATGAATTGAATGTTCATTAATGTTATGGTACACAAAGATAATGACAATATAAACGAACGCAAAGTAAAAAAGAAAAAAAATGAGATACTAAAATGTCACACCCCTAATTTTCAAATTAAAATTTATTAAATAAATTCATTTATTTTACGGACTAAAATGTAAGTTTTTGGAACTTTTTGAGCTAGTTTTGAATATATATGAAATTTAGAGACTAACCCCATAATTTTCCCATAACTCACCTTACACCCAAAATAAAATAAAGGATAGTTGGGGAGGCTTAAACATGGACCCTAGGGTTATGGCCTAAAATGCCCTAACCACTAAGCTAGGCTTATAATTATGATTTTAAATAATAAAAATATATGTTGTAATAAATTGGTTTCCGTTATAACCTAAAACCAAAGAAGATACCCCCAATTTTAAACCAAAACTCATTCTCTCACCAAACCCAATCGTCCACGCTGCCTCTCCGTTTAGCTTCCTCCGACCGACGATGTAGTGCACCTTCTTGTCCAGCGAGCTCGACGTCAATCGACGATCCAACCCCAACCCCCAGTTTACCGATTCGATCACCGTTTGTCGTTGTTTGGAAAGAAATCGTTCGATCCTCCTCGCCTCGGGTCATCGTCGCAACTCATCGGTTGGAGACACCGCCACCTCCAATCGAAGCGTCAGGCCACCGCGAATCAACCCTGCAAGCCACTCTTCTCCAGCTGCCGCCGTTCGTCATGGAGAATTTGATAAATTTTTGTTGAAACCCTATCGCTGCTCGATGTTTCTTCAATTGTGGCCACCTCGCTTATCGATTCACCTCATCGCCGCCACCATTGGACTCTTCATCTACGTGCGATCAAAACCCAACTGGTGGGTAGCATCGTCGTCGGCGTTCTCATCGTCCACCGAAGGTAAGCTCCTGATCTCATTTATCTTGTTAATTGTTGTGGTTTTGGCTTATTTTTGAGTTGGTTTGGCTTGATAATGGTGTTTGGATGCTCCTGGAGTGCTCAGCAGTCGCCTTCGACCTCGTCGCCACCGCCACGTGCGTGTGGGGCTTGTCCTCACCTAGAAAAGCCTTCTAATACGGTCCAGGTGGATTGAACCAGCCCAACCTGGTCTGAACCGGGCCTGTTTAACCCGACCGAGTCAACTCAAATCAAATTGAGTCAACCTGAACTGATCTGAATCATTGACTTTGACTTGACCATGGACTTTGACTTTGAACGTTGACTTTGACCAAAAAGTTAAATTTTTCAAAAAGTAATATTTTATGTTTTTCGACTTCTTGAGTCTGAATCCGAAGTCTGTTTTGCCAAATTTGAACTCGGTAAGCTTTTTTCTGACATTTTATCTCCAAATTCAGTATGAATTTTCACGTTTAAGTTCCATTTCTAATGTAACTAGTTTGGCCATTTACCCGAGATATTATGGGATGTGGAATTAAAGTTTGAGGGTGATCAAATGGATTTTAATTGGTTAACCAAATTGGCTCAAAAATCGAGATAATACTTTACTACCCCTATGCATGCTTTATGGTACATGTTGGTGATTTGGTAATGCATGATTGGAGTTATTGATCAATTACATAGAGTTAATTATTGATTGACTTGAATTGAATACGATATAAAGACAGTAAACCCAATAAGACTCAATTGACTCGTGTAAGGAACTAGAAGATCAATAAGAGATAAATCTAAGTTCAGTGATTTAATAAGTAAATCAAATAATCTCAGGATACGTAAATTTTGATTAATCTCATTAAAGGTTAAATGTCAGAAATACTTGGATAAGAAACTACGAAAATACCCGTGTGATGTAAAAGACAAGGATTTCCCCTGAAAGTGAAAATAACCCTATTAATTGCTCATAACCTCTGAGATGGTAAAAGACTTAGAATTCTGATTCTTGAATAAACTCCTAAAGACTAATTTGCCTGAAGTAATGTATATGTCAAAATTAAATGAAATGACTGAAATATCCTTGAAATGGGAAAATGAGCTAAAAGTTTTAATTACTGAGCGAACACTCGAAGGCTAAATTACCAAAAGTACTTTACACGTCTGAATTACTCAAAATGACTATATTATATGACAAAGTTGAATTGAATGGAAGTATTTTACGTATCTGAATTGTTGAAACGGTTGAATTACTCTGGAAACTCTGAAATGACCGAGATAAACTTGTATACTAAATGACCTAAGTACCTTCAATGTCCTAGAATTAAGTGGATGACTTGGATAAGTCTTGAAACGCAAATGAACTTATATGTTGTACTGTCCATAAAGGTAACGAGCCACAAATCAAGCACGTCAACATTTCTTGATACCGTTGCAATAAAGAAATGAAATAAATACTATTCAAATACCTTCTCATCTCCCTAAGATCCATTCAACGATGATTCTGAAGGCGATCAATTCAACTTGAGCAATCGATATTAAAAAATGAATAATGGTGAAGTACATCAGTCTGAATGATTGGAAAGTATCGAATTGTTGGAATTTGTTAGTTTAATTTGACTCGAAATCCTGATAATTTGATATTAATCCTAAATACTATAAATTATTGTTTTACTCTCATTGGGTTAAATTACTAAGAATTCTTCAAGAAACCAAAATGTCTAAAATGCCTCTGATTTCCTGAATAATGGAATCACCCCTATCATATCTGAAATCTCAAGTAACTCTGATGTAAAAGATTCTGAATACCTTCCTGATTACTTAGTGCCTTCGAAAAATATTTGAATACTATATAATCTTGATAAATCACTTCCCAAACGACTGATGAATCTGTTAGCTATCAAACCCCATATTATAGGGATCTCATTTCTGAAATTCAATCAGTTTGCAGAAGTTTCATGTTTTCATGCTTGATAATTGCTACGTACCTCTGGAAAATAATTGGATCCTCTAGTGTGTTCCTTATACGCCATATAATTGTTTTACCTGTTTTAAAATATGTTTTTTCGAAATTACAGATTTACTATTTATGAACTATGACTACATGACATGTGTTCTCTGGTTACCTGTTTTCACTGAAAATATAATTGTTCCTGGTTTATGGATCATGGAATCTACTGTTTACTGTATGAATAGATTATTGGGATACTATCTGGGTAGGATTATGGAGTATGGAGGTTCAGCTTTGATCAAGCTGGTAATTCCTTACGGACCTAAGATAGTCCTTGGGTAGGCGATAAGACCTCAAGGCACTCCCTTAGTATGAGGACTATATTTTGGTGTACGAATGGAGGGCATTCATGTGATTTAAATTACTACATTGTCATTTTTACAATATTCTACTGGATCATGATTTTGATATTAAAGTTATTACTCAATCTGATTTCTATTGGATATTGTATGGGTAGGAGTCTAGAGTACGGAGATTCATCTTTGATCAAGCTGGTAAATCCTTACGGACCTAAAGAGACCTTTGGGTAGGCTCATAAGCCCCAAGGTATTCCCTTAAGGTGGCTCATTTGCTATGTGCTTAGGGTAAGTCCTTATGGATGAAGTTATGGGTAAATTGTATATCGGTGTTCGGTTAGAAAGATTATTGTGGTTTTAAAATATGTTTTAAACTACTAATGTTTTTAAAGGATTTGTACAC